CTAACATTAGCATTAGCGCAACTTCTTGTAAGCTTTACAACAATCACTGATGAAATGGCACTAAAGCAACGCACTGCTAACACAAGTAAAAGAATACCGTGTCCGAATGTATTAATTTAAAACATTAGAATATATTCTAATATTTAATTATAATTTGTTATAGAGCTCCTCAAAGCAGCAGCACTCCATTGACTTGAATGCAATTCTTCCGATCATTTTTTCTTGATAACAGAACTCTCAAACCAATAATGACCGAAGCCCCAATGCAATTTCTGTTTGTAATTCAGGTGTGTAAAATACTGCCATTACTCTGCAAGTACAACAAGCTATCAGCGCCTGTCACTGAGTGTGTTCACAGTAAAGTGACAATTGAAGTATCTGGACTTTAAAAGGTTATAACTTAAAAACTAAAATTACTTTTATAGATTGGAAAAAAGTTTTCAAACACAGACAGATTGAAGAGATAGTGTGGAAAAAATCAAAAGGAAAGATTGACATAAAAATGTTTAGCAACATTTTAAACGACCAAATCAGCCTCTGATTGGACCATTCTACTGTGACGCCAGTTACATAGAAAATAAAATGTCCTCAGTCTGAAAAAGCAGAAGATGAAATCCCACAATATTTACATGGTTAGCACAACAGAAGGGAATCACTTGATATAAAAAGGAATCGTAAAAAATAAAAAATAATTAATTAATTAAATGACCCCTGAAAAATGTATAACGGACGTGATGAGGACGGTCCTCTTTTTCTCAAAAAATTAAACTTGAGAAAAAAAAAATCTGGTCTGTTTTCACATTTAATTGCTTGACAATATGAAAGTATCACTTCGCATCTACTTTGTGTAAAAAAATAGAATCTCTGAATCAAATGTGGACATCTGAAAATACCTATCAAACTTCCGCAAAGCTCATTCCGTCAAATCATCACGTCTGTTACATAAAATAAACAGGGCCGCTATAGGAAACTTGTCTAATGTATAAAACAGTTATGTTCTAGCAACTTCTAATGAACAGAGGAGGGGCTTGGAAACATGAAAAACATAAAATATCTTCTGATTATTAAAATCTAATTTTTGGCCTTTTGTCACACTTTTGTGCCCTTTAGTGTGAACAAGCCCCACTACACTGTGCAGTTTCTCTTCACACCTGTCTGTGTAGAGAAGCTAGCGGAGCTAGTGCAGCTAGCCACGCTCAATAAACAAATACATATCTATCAATCAACACCATTAAACGTTAATCGGACAATACAGTACACATATATATCCTTAACACACATGCACGGACGATTTCAGAATTTGCTGTTAACGTTTTCATGACAAAAATACTGTTTTAATGTGACAAAAAGCGATTGCGAAAACCCGGAAGTTACCATGGAACAACTAGCTAGCTTAGCTGTTACCTGCCTAGCACGTCCCGGTGAAACCTTTGGGAGCTAACTATTTTATTTGCCATTGTAAGGGTTGTCTAATATTTGTTCCAATATCTATATATTTTTTATTTTAGAATTATATTCGAATTTTGAAGTCGAAGCCCTGGTGTTAAGCAGCGCTGTAGAGGCTAGAGGACGCAGGCTGTTCACTGCTCGTTCTGTGAGCGGAGGAGAAAGAGCGGCCCGCTCAGACTCTACTCAGCACTTTTCACGGCTTGTAATTCTTACACAGCTGAATCAATGACCTCAAGTTTTCAATTAAATGATGTATTATGATACAACTTGTATGCAGTAAAAAGCATTTTTATGAACTACTTAGAAAAAAAATCGGGTATAGCTTCTTTAAGTACCTCAGCCTTAAACGATTTCCTTTAGATTCTAACTTGCCTCAGCCTGTCGCACACTATTGAACATGGTCTTATCACCTTTTTAAAAATTATTTTTACAGGTTTTCTAATACAGTGTTGTTTGTTTCTGTTATTTAGGATATTGGAACAGCAAAAATCATCTTATTTTGATTTTAGTATATGGTAGATGCAAAAATTTGGACTACTACTTCCACAAAGTCTCTACTATGATGAGAAACACTGCATTGTATGTTCAACATCTTTGCGTATTTTTGTTTCGCAAAATAAGTGATCACTTATTTGCTTTTGGAAAGTCCTACATACACACTGTAGGCAAGCCAAGTTGTACAGATCCTTCCTCAAATGGTTACTGAGCTAGATGAGTTTATTATCAATGCAGATCAATAGGAGCCAGAGCCAGAAGGAGCAAAACTTTGTCCATGAGCACTTCCCTCATTGAGTTAGCAGATTAGCATTGTCTATCAGTATACAGACTTAAATACTTGTAACTGATTAATTTTTTAAGTGGTCCCTCGGCTAGGTTTGACTGGGCCTTTCTGCATGAGTTTGCGTGTTCTCCCTGTGTCTGTGTACGTTTCCTCCAGGTGCTCCAGTTTCCTCTACTACTAAACGCATATACAATAGGATTTGATGGTGTGTGGAGACAATGGGAAATACACAGAAATAGCAATTACCCTTTTTCCATGAAATGTGTTGTATTAATACTACTTCATATTTTGAAGGAGTAGGCTTATGTTATTGTTTTCCCTTTGGATCAGTGTAGTTGTACCTTCGTCCGTCAGAAAAGGTCAGTCCGATATAAGCAACAAACCCAATTTTGATGTGTCAATATAGTCCACAACCAACGGCAAGAACCATTTTGTTCCAAGTCGACTTTCTTTTCTCCTTGAAATATGCTGCACCGTTGTGTTGGAGTTGGACTCGAAAATATGCTATCAGTCTCTATACCTCATTTATATTATCAATGGGCTATTATTTTCGCCACTTGGAAAGGCTAAGCAGGCCTTTCTGTTTCCTCTCCAAGTTTGCATGTTCTCCCCGTGTATGCGTAGGTTTCCTCCAGGTGCTCCAGTTTTCCTTACCACTAAAAGCATGTACAGTACCTCCCCTCTCACTCCCCTCTCCCCAGGACTCAACTGAAAGAATAGATTCTCCCTAGGTACTTTCCTGGTTAAATAAAAGCCATTAATAAAACTACAAATATTATTATCACACAATTATGGTTTAACTTTGTCGGCATTTGTTTTGGAGGCCAGTTAAATAACTGTGCATTTATGGTATAGATAAAATATTTGCAAAATGATATAACAGCAGCAATAATGACAACGTTTAGAACATTTTGATCTTAGTTTTTTTTGCCATTTCTCGTTCTTTTACATGTTGAATGAAATGAGTAAGTGCGGCGTGGTGATTTTCTCCTCTTGATAATGGTATCAGTGGCAAAGAAAGCTATATGATTGTTGTTGACCAAAGGGTAAGGAGATCATGCATAATTGCTCTGGGCAAACAAGAGTCGTGCCAAAGATTGTTCTTGTTCAAACACATCACTTCAAATACTGCGACGGTCTCTGGCCTCGCTGCTGCTCTCTGCTTTGAAGGCAACACAATAGTCTGCGTCTATGGGTAATGTATCCAGAAGTGAGTTGTAACGTGTAATTGACCGAATGTTGCTATATTTGCCCTCTGTCTCTAGTTTGTTGACTGTATTGTGAACCATCATGAGATATTATAGCTGTGGGTTTGGATGTCGCTTTTCTCTTTAGTCCAGAGGTGTCCAAACTTTTTAGCAAGAGGGCCACTTTAGTTCATCAGACTTGACCTGGGCCTGTTTAAAAATCTGGTTTTGAGCTGGATTGGCTGGATTATGGATTTTAAAATGGATTATGATGCGTCCTTATTGATTCACACCACCGCTGCATTTTATTTGGAATGTGACTGTATTGGTAGAGCTGAAGTGTTAGCAGCAGAAGGCCCACATAAAATATCACAGAGGGCCGCAATTAACCCGCGGGCCTGAGTTTGGACATGCCTGCTTTAGTCAGTGCAAGAAGTAAAAATCATTATTTGCTTGTATAATAAAGGTATATAAGGAGATTTTCTTCTTCCGGATGGATCATCAAGACTATTGGTCTTCCGAATTGTCAATCATTCTGGTGATACGTTCTCGTCAAATAAGAGCAGAGAGTTTTGTTCAAAAAGTGGAGAGGGTGGTTTTCTCCTAAAATTTGAGAAAATCCTTCTATATACCATCAACAAACAATTACTATCCAATATTTTTGTCAAAACCTTTTCTACCTTTTTTCATCCGATAATCCTATTCTATCGGTAATCCTCCTTTTCAAAATCTAAACATACTGATACCATGTTAATATTAATATTTTGAACCAATAACATCCAATGATTTGATCCAATAAACATCATTTATCATGTGATACCTCAGATTCCAGGAAATTTACCTTAATTGTGTTTTTACTGTATTTTTACTGTAGCAGTGTTACTGTCAGTAATTTACATACAGTACCTTTTTAACACCACATACTGTTAATTGATTGCATTATCTTATAGTTGTGATATAACTGAATGTTTTGGGCAGTGTTTCCCACAAGTATTGAGACTATTGCAGCTTTGTCATTTTATACATTTATACATTCTTTGAGTAAAAACGTTTTTTCTTCTGCTAAATAAATATTGTTTTTTTCAGTCTATCCTGTAAAGTTGACACATTTTGAAGTGTGTTTGGTTCTATAAGTTACATGCCCATTGTTACTTCCTTGTTTTATTTGACAAAACCACAAGGCTCATTTGTACCTCCACCAGAGTGTAGGGACCAACAATCGCCTATGGCCACAATAAACAACTCTATTTATGGGAAACACTGTGATGATATAATGTATCATGTTAGATCCTTTGTTCTCTCTACACCTCAGGCCACTCTCAGGTTGTTTCCAGTTTTAAAAGCACATTGCTCAAGTGAAATCGTGAAACTCGAACGACTGTGAAATCACCTCAAAGAAGGAAGGAAGAGGTGTAACGGTCGCACAGTGGCTGAAGCAGAGACTCTGAAGCTGCTGAAAATGAAGGGAATAACGTGTACATGGAGCTCATCTTAAACATCCAGGACTTTTAATTGCTACTGAATCAAAGGACTCCAAATCCACTTTTAGTCGTTGGGGAGTTTGGAGGTGACCAGCCTTAAAGATGACCATGACCTCTTCCCAACACCTGAGCCAGCCCATCGCCGTACCTACTCTGACCGTCCTGCCGCCGTCCTCAGACACAGAGTCGTGGTCGCGCTCGCCCAGCCCCCGCCAGTCCCGCTCTGACCGCTCACGCACGCGGAAGAGGCGGTCCAGGGCAGCCCAGCCGGTCAAGGAGGACCAGGGCTGTTCGCCAATCAGACGCCAATGGAGCCGCAGTCCCAGAGCCAAGCGCGGGGCAGGAGCGGCAGATGGAGCGGCAGATGGAGCGGCAGATGGAGCGGCAGAGGGTGCGCTCGCTGTGATGGACCGGGAGGAGGAGCAGGGCGGAGACTGCTTGCTGCTGCCCAGACGCTCCTCGTCACGCAGCCCCTCTCCAGGCCGACGATCGCGCTGGTCCCTGAAGAGCCTGCTGGGGAGGGACTCTGAGTGGGAAGGTTGCAGGTTAGTGAGCTCATAGCCGTTTCTCCCAAATTGAACTTTTTAGAAGAAAATAAGGATCTATTATTTAAGATACTAGAAAATAAATAGGTACGTAATAAACTGTGAAGGTTTGATTGCACTCCTAAAATTCATGAGTTTTATGTAGTGATTTTTTTTGGACACTGAAAAGACGCTTCCATGTTTCACTTCTTTCACTACTGTAGCCACAGCTGCCCTGGGGCCACTGTTGTGCCAGTTCACAGCTTTTCTGAACTAGTTCAAGTTCAGTTCATACTTGCTCAAAGTGAACAGTTCACGTTCAAAGTTCACAATTTTAATTCTGAACTAGTTCGAAGTTCAGTTCATTAAAATATAAGCTAGAAATCACAATACGTGAGATATATATAAAATATATAATTATATATATACATATATCTCCTGTACACTGCACAGGATGAGAGCCTTTTGACTCCAAAACAGACAAGATTTACATGGGTTTCAATGGGTAAAACTGCAAAACTGAGTTCTGTGCTCATAACTACAAACAGTAATGCTCTGCAGTACGTGTGTCTATACTTTATGTCAAATGTAAACGGTTGGACCTGTGTCGCTAACTTACCCTTTGTTTTCATCATGAGTCAAACAACCCATGAAAAGCACTAGCATGCAGCGCCGCACCGCAACACAGAGTCGGGGTGCGTTCACAGATGATGGAAACCGTGGGAATTTTTAGTTTTCGGCGGAAAAACTTCGGAGAATACAGGAGGGAGGAATTTTCTCTCGTTCTGTTTCAAAAGAGAAAACCAATGTCACCAACATTCATTTACAGTGATGTCTGCCGTTCATGACACATAATATGAACTAAATCACGTTAAAGTTCTTTATTGAAAAATGTGTTTCCTTCAGTTCAACGTTTACAAAAAATGAGCGTGTTTAATTAACGCGTTCTTTTGAACTCGTTCACGCACAACACTGCCTGGGGCACGCAGACAGAAGTGAGGCAACCATCACCATCGGGTTAGGGTTACCAACCATTCACACACACCAGATTCATTCTAATGTGGGTGAAGTGTCTTGCCTAAGGACACAGCTACAGTTTGGCACTTTACAGCCCCCATCACAGTACTAACCAGGCCCTGCCCTGTTTAGCTTCAGAGGTCTGACGCTATCTGTCTTTCACCTGTAGGAGGTGCCACAATTAACAAATAAATCCCAAAATTGAGAGAAAACATGTGACCTTAAAGTTTGTGTACCTGGCGTTGTTTGTTATCATAGTCTTAATATAAAAAAGTAAAAACAACAAAAATCTGTCTTCGTCTATTTCGAAAGCCTGTCATCTTTGCACACTTGTGAGAAAGAGCCTTGTGAGTCACTATTTGACTCGTTGGGCTGAGAGATGATTGGTTGATCAGGAGCGGTCCTCTCATTTTCACTTTCTGTTGCTGATCTAAAGAGGTGACAGAGACAGAGGCCAAAAATCTCTGCACTTGAAAACTAATGATCGAACCAAAAACGGCTAGGACCTTAATGGATGGATTTTCTTCTGTCGTTTGAGAGTTGGGTACCTCAGCTTTAATTAAGAAACTAGACACATACTTTTCCCTGCAGAAAGTCTACGTCTGCTTGTTTGAAAAGGTTCTTTCTTTGGTTTTATATTTCTACAGTTTGACATTCAATCGATCATAATGACTTTACCCTTTTATTTCCCTGGAATGTGACCCCTGCAGACGGTCGCACTCTGATGCTCTGAGTTAGAGGACATATACTGAATTGATTTGCATGCATGTCTGTGTAATCTTTATTCATCTGCATTCATGGCTCATTAATGCCAACAATCTCACCCACTCTCATTTGCTTCTGCTATCTTGTTCATTTCTTTATATTTTCCTTTTTCTTATTATCCAAAATCTGGCAGAATTACAGACATTTTGGCTTGAATTAAAAAAGCATGGTTATCTGTTGCTATCACGTGACTTCTACAAAGACTGACCAGACAGAGAACCAGTATTCCGAAGGTCATCTTGGATCTATTCAATTAAATACAATTTATTCTTGTGCAGGCCTAAATCGAGCCTGGCCCTAGCCATCCGTAAACTCCAGTCAATCATTGTTTCCGTGCATGTGTCTTCTGGGTCTGGCCCCTGTGTCTGCAATAATATCGGTTGAATCTCATCCGACCAATCAGCGAGCGCGGGAGGCGGGTGATTTAGTTAGTTGTGGGTGACGCCAAGAGTATGCGCCCAACGGGCAGGTTGTAGTTTGGAAATGGCAGAGAATGTGATAGTAAAGTAATCTGGTCTGGTTCAAGAAATTGAATCCGGAGCAAGAGGAATGTTTAGCAAATGTAATCGCTGGCAAAGATTGTGGCTAGGGCTGGGCGATTAATCAATTTTAATCATTAATTCGAGTTTTACGTTTAGAGCGATTTCTTTTTTTAAAAATTCGATTTTTATTTTCTCCAGCGCAGAACTACAGCGCTAACGCGCTAACCGCGGGTCTATGGTGTTGAGCAGTCATTTTGAAGCTAACCTAATGCTAACAGTCTCCCTCTGGCCTGATGCTCGCTCTCACAGTTGGTGCTGTTGCAATAACACTTCAAACGTTCAAGAATCAGACTTTATTTAAATCGCCAGAACACACACACACACGCACGCACGCAGGCTCCGGTCGCTATGTTCGTACGCCATGTTCGTACGCCACATCTTTCACGCTCTCTCACGCTCGTTATTCCAAAGCGCACTCCCGTGTCCGTGGCGCGCACACACTCGTGTCCCACTGAGCCGCTGCACTTTGGGGAAAGACACGTCTCACACATTGCTCTCATTGCTCTGATACAAACAACGTGTTCCCCGCTGTCTGTTAGCTACAGTAGCTGCTACAGTAGCTGTTAGCTACAGTAGCTGCTACAGTAGCTGTTAGCTACAGTAGCTGCTACAGTAGCTGTTAGCTACAGCATCAGAATGTAAACAGGAAGCTCGCACAATGCGGGAGTCACTGAAGTTAGTATTAGCGCCACCAGCTGGACCGAGCGTTGTACTACAGCACAGTTACTCAGGCACAGTTGAAAGAACAAGCATGAAAACCCGAGGAGGCTTTTGGAAAAGACTGTCTGTTACAACATTTCTATTTTGAGTAATCAGTTTTAAAAATGTGATATTTCATGTAAATAATGCATGTGTTTAATAGGATTGATATATTTGCGATGGGCCTTGTTTGTGTGATTTAAGTTATTTTGAAGGTGCATAGTGTCATTGTAAGTGAAGTTATTATATAAAACTGTTAAGCTACATTTTCACTGTTTACAATGGCAGAGCCATCTCGTTTACAAGCATGTTTTAAGGCTTAATTCCTGTTACACATGCTCCATGGGGATTTAGATTAAACTGCATAAAGGAAAATCTATTTCTTTGTCAGTTGTAGTTTGTTTTTAAATAGAAAAAAATAAATCGATTAAAATCGAAAATCGGATTTGGTGTGAAAAAATCGGAGATTTTTTTTTTTGCCATATCGCCCAGCCCTAATTGTGGCGCTACTCCCCACAGGCTCTCTTAGCGGCAAAGGTAATGGCTAGGCTAATGCTAAATGCTAACGACTCACTCGGGCGCATCACATAAACGTAAACTGACGTAAACTCAGATCCAATCGTTTCAATCTGGAAAAGGAGTTAATGGCGCTCAATGGAGCACATTCAGACCTTAGTACAAAATGTAATTTGTACGATGGTGTGGTACGACCAGGCTACTCTAAATCACAGCAGTAGTTGTCTCAGATTAGAGAATAAAACGGTTCAAACACAAGAAATGGAACAAAAACATGTTGGTTTGGGTCAATAAGGGGCAGAAGACCATGTCCATAAATGTTGATCTAGCTTCACATAAAAATGTTCCAATGAGTAACAACACATTTATTATAGATTATTTTATTTCTAAAGCAAACAACATCTCAAGAAGCAGATCCCTTTCTCAATATGAGCCGATAAAAGGTTTCTCTCTGATTTCCCCACTGGGTTTGTTCCTTAGACCCTCCTGCATCAGCAAGGAACAACTAAAGACAGTGATGATCCATGACCTTTAAGGACATTTATGGATATTAACATTTATGGACATTGGTTTTGCCGCTACCTGTGGACCAATGGGGGTTTGTTAATACTGCATTTCCTGTGATCGTTTGTCGTTCGTGAATCCACAACTTTATAAAGCCTAGCGTACATCGGACTGGCAACTGATTATATCCGTCGCATATGAGTTGCTGCCCCGCACACATCGACAATCTGACGAAAACGGGCAACTCCCTGCAGCAGACCAGTCTCGGGAATAACAGCGCGTACATCGACAGCAACTGGCCTCAACTACAGTGTGTTTTCTGACATAAACTGTTGCGGGCTCGCAATACACGCAATACACACACGTTGTCGGAGCGGCGCATGGAGCGCGCACATCGGGTCATATCTCCAAAACTGAGGACAACTAGTTGCCGAAAAGTAGAACACGGGCAACTGACTGAAACTGGAGATCGACTGATCATCTCCAGTTGTAAGAGCGCGCACATCGACTGATTTCGGCAACTGATCATCTCCCACCATCTCCTCTCAGTTGCCAAAAGCCGCCTTGCAACTAGTTGTCTCCAGTTTCTCTGTCGATGTACGCTAGGCTTAAAGTTTAGGGGCATACACAAATACATCGAATTGATTGTTTTGTTTTTTGTAGTTAGATATATTACCGTATTAACATGTTTCAGCTGCTGTTAAAAATGTGATAATCTTTCATCTTTAGGTATAGACCAGAGTCATAAATCTATTGTACATGTTTTTTAGTGGTAGGGGAAACCGGAGCACCCAGAGGAAACCTACACAGACACGGGGATAACATACAAACTCCACACAGTAAGGTCCCGTTCCGACCGGGATTCGAACCCAGTGATACATCTGACTTGTCTTTCAAAAGAACCACAAACTACATTTAACCTAGACAAAATTAACCCTTTTGAGTTAAATGAAATTGAATTGAAATTGGAATACTCCGAAATAAGGGGAAGACATTTACATACAATGGATTATTATATGTTTAAATGAATAAGTTTCTTCTGTCTTTTGCACATATCTGAGTGATTCTATCTGTGCCAAATGTGACATGTAAATTTCTCCTCTGTGAGATAAATAAAGCAATTTTATCTTATCTTATCCTCAAACCATGACTTTTCTATAAGCAGATGATAGAAGCTGGACGCGATTAAAAACCCGGTGACGTGTGGCAAAACCAGAACATACATTAGAGACTCGATAGAATTTCAAAAGAAACTCAAAGTTTGCTCAATAGCAGGAAGCCATAGGTTTCAGTGAAGTGATGTGGTCTCTTTGTGGTTCTACTTCCTGCTTAGCTCTCATCAAGCTTTCACTGCAGTATTGACCTGTTTTCTCTGTGTTTTATAGTCTAAACAGACATGTATACTAAATCACTAGACCGTAGACACCCACAGCACTTTATACAGCACTTTATGGCTTTATAAAGTGCTTTACTATTTAAAACGGCTGACGGCTGTTACAAAGTCCAGACACTTTATCATACTGTATTTTTATGCTAGTTTCATCATTCCATCGTGTCAGCACAACCCACACAATCTGTGCTAAAGGCGAAACGACGACATACAATATACTTTGAAATGCATTTAGTACAGGTTTCCTCCTTGTGCTCCGGTTTTTCCTACCGCTAAGAAACATGTACACTAGCTGCCATCTCTCTGAGGCCACGACTGAGATTCTGTGTAAATAAGTGTCAATACAGAAATGTAATGTTCGGCTTAAAGGTGATGTTCCTAACTTTTCCCTAAATAGTGTATTTTGTTTGTACCAAGAGTCTTGTAAAAGTGACATTTTGTGAACAAATTGGACCACCGCGTGCTGGCTTTAAATTATGAGAAAAGATTGTATCTTTTGTAAACTTGCAAAAATACTCCAACTGTTACTACTATAAGTTTTCATTTCATTTTTTTCATTTCATTTGTTTATTTCTTTCGAGCCCATAACATTACACATTTGTTTACACAACAAGCATCCCACAACATTGCACAAGAACAGAACATGATTCACTAATGCTCCTGTGCCCTGAAGAAAAATAAAAAAAATAAAACATAAAACCACCTATTACATATTCACATAGGCCTTGTTGTTCATAAGCACACTCCAAGAGCTCGAAAATGGAGTGGGAAGAAGAAAAAACGTATAAACTCCCACCCCATGTATATTATGATAAATCATAATGTTTCATAAAAATAATAATTCATCCAATTCGCATCACATTTGAATGATACGCCGCAGCGGGCTCAGCACCTCACCCCGACCGGTCCCAGAGACAACGAGCAGCACTATAGCAGCAGACAAACTGCGCAGAGGATGATCCCGGCAGCACACACCAGCCCTCCACAGCCATGCCCCGAGTCATCACCCCAATGGGAATACATCCATGTTTCCTATACCTGTTTATTTACTCTATTTATTTATTTATCTTTTATATATATATATATATATATATATATATATATAATATATAATATATATATATATATATATATATATATATATATATATATATATATATATATATATATATAATATATATATATATATATATATATATATTGAAAGCCAACTCCAAGCTATCTTGTAGTTTATAATTATAAAAAACTGCATCCATAATAAAAGAATAGTCAGTGTGTTCTTTTTATCCATTATGTTTTGTATTTTTGTGTGTTTTTTGAACTGTGTATTTTTACTGCATTTGTTAAACACATCTGTTGTTTAAGAGTCTGTACAAACAAAGTTTGTGAAAGAATTGGACACACTTTAAGTCAAAATTACTAAAATGGACAGAAGGACAACTACAGCATAGCCAAAAGAAAAGAGGCACAAGCACAAGCAAAAATTGTGGTAAGTAACCGTATTGCTATTTAGAATATATTTGTTTTTAACATTTAATATTAGATTGTAAGTAGTGCTTTATCACAAGTAATGTCAATGTTTTGTAATTTATGATAAAGGTTATAATATTGGTGTGTTATTCTGGTACCAGGAAGCTTCTCGAGAGGCATGAGCCTTGACTGCGAGCCTCAAGCAGAGTCAAAAAAGAAAAATCCTTGAGGACGACGGAGGAGGCGTACAGAGGAGAGGGACCACGCCCGCTTTTACTCAGAGAACTGCAGGTAAGCTGTGGCTCACTATTGACAAATCTATGTTTACCCGATACTCCACAGAAGTAACAGCAGGTAAAACTGGTTTCAATTTGAAAAAAATCACTGATGGAGTAACGCTGGACAACTTGGTGAAAATACCTATGAATCCATCGTAATGATCATCATGAAATAAAGACGTGAAACTGCTGGCAGTTTGCAGCCCCCTTGGGGATAAATTGGTACATCAAAATCTAAACATGCAGTATTTCTGTTTTTCCGATGTACATTTATTTACATTGAATCTTCTTCTACAGACAAAAGGCAGCATCACTCCTAGACACCACTACAGATCTGTGCTCCTGTGTCAGACTTTCTCTAATGCCTCATTGTTACCAAACCTAAAGCCCAGCCCACTCACACCGCTTAAGCAAAAGGAGAGGAGTTAACAGACGTTGGAAATCAAAGTGCCTTATCCCACTGACCGAGAGCCAGGAGAAGGCAACGACCTCTGAACACTATCAGTGCCAATCTCTTCATAAAATCAGAGGATTTACAGAGGGAGAATGTGAAATCACAAACAAAAAGAGAGGATGTTTTTGAAAAAGACGTACAAGACCCAGCTCACAAACTATTTCTCATTGTTCCACCCTCTAACCGAAGAATCTGCTGGCAGAGAATGCAGCGTTGCACTCTGAGCTGAAAGACACTCAGAAGAACTGCAGAAAGACTAGACGATCTGGAAACTCAGAGACCGAGCGGGAGACAGAAGCACGAACCAGACTCAAGCTACTGAGCCGGAAAAATGCCAGCCAGGTCACGGAGAAAGAGGAGCAATACAAGGAAGTGCAAGTCACAGCTGAGAAGGCCGAGGTCTGAGGTGGAAAGGGTTGAAGAAGGCCTTGGATGCATCAGAGGACATGACAACAAGAGAGGGAGAAAAGGTGATTGAGAACAACACTGTGCTTCAGGATAAAGCCGATGAAATGATAGAGCTGAACAAGATGAAGAAGCAGCTGTCGGAGGTAAGGCTCAGCAGTTTTAGAACGAGAAGAGCGAAACAACACAAGGCTGAAATTAGAACAAAGAACGTGCAGACATGGAGAAAACTACAAGGGCTTCAGTCCCCCCCCCCCCCTTGAGATAGAGCAGCTAAAGCAGTCTAAACGACAGCCACAGATGGTAAAGGGCCGGTGCGACCACAGCCTGTGACCTACCTGTGCCTCCGAGAGGACAGGACTCTGATGCGTGTGGAAAACAAACCAGAGACACACTCCTCCTGCAATGGGGAATAGTCAGGCAAAATGCAATGTCTTCTGGTATTGGGACATCTTATTCAAATGAGGGAACAATTGTTGATCCTCAGCATCCAGTTTTAACTGTGACTGACTTAGAAAAGAAATTCAAAACCAAAACATGGATAGCCATTAAAACAATTAGAAAGTCTATGACAAGCTTTCTTCTCTGGAGTCACAAGTGCTCTCTCTGCAAAAACAAAACTCATTGGAGAAAGAGCGTGCACACGAGTACCAGATAAAACAGAAATCTTACAAAACCAGTATGAACATAAAAGTCAGACCCTTGTTTAATTCATCTTCAGTTTTCTCATGACATGTTCAATTTGTACTTTAGTTACCAACAGACCCAGCAAGCTGACAATGCTTTTGAAATGCAAGCAAACACCTTTCCTGGTCTTTTAAGTGAGCATTCAAGAAAAAGAAGAAGAAAGACAGCTGTGTCGACAAGACTCAGTGTACTTAAAGATCAAGTAGAAAGGATGATGCAACAAAAAACAATAAAACAAAAATATAAAAAAAATGTAAATATTATTGGGGGGGGGGAGGGGGGGAAGTGATAGGTGGGGAGTTGTGCAGAGGGGGGAGTGGGGGGGGGGGGGGTGGGGGGGGTTGGTTGGGGGAGGTGGGGGCCTGACAATTCTTCACCTGTCCCTCAAGAGTTTTTTTGCTGGAACATCAGAGCTGAACTTCTGCTGCCACAAACACCTGCGACTGCTGACTGTCAGTTACTTACACAAGGTTAGGTCAATGACCTAACCCTATAAATCTAGAACAAACAGACTGCCTAAGATAGAGTTTACAGAGCAAGAGGCTACAAAGTAAGATGCTAAAGCCTGCAGCGGAAAACAGTCCCCCTTTTAAGTTGAAAATCAAGTCTAATAACTACACGAAAGGTCCCTGGTATAAATAAAAGTTGTGGCTCAGCTCTGAAGGAGCAATGCCTACATCTTGTGTGACGTCAGTGTCAGACATGCACTGAGGCTCAGCAGCGCGGCAAAGAACCAGGCTCCCAACAACTGGATCAAATCACCATCTACAGCAACAGGGATAATACACAACCTGCATCAAATCTAGAGTTTTCCGTCTATTACAAAGATTTTTTTGCATGACATCCGTTTTGATTCACTTTTGCCTCTTCTCCAGGTCAGTGCGCTGCAGGCAAAGCTCAGTTCACTGTGAAGAGAAACCGCAGAAGACTGAGGAGCTGCTGTGAGGAGACTGAGGCTCTGAGCCGTGTGCTTCTCACTGAGTCTCACCTGTGACTACTGCTGCGGGAGGATGAGAGTGGCTGTCCTGCTCCTTCCAACATACTACAAGGACGCACTCTGTTCTCCAGGAAATCTAAAAACACCCCGATGTGTATCTCAACAAAGGATGCAATTGACCAGTTAATTATGAAAAAACGTCCATTTTAGTTTCTGTGCCAAATTTTACCATTTTGCTGTTTTGAAAATTGAGCTTAGGGACAGAAGCAAGTCTTTACATTCTCTTCATTTGCCTTCACAATGTTTGTTTAAAAATATCACAATTTTAATTAAAACAAGTTAAAGCTCTCCTCCTGCCTGTGTGCACGTATCAAAAAAGATTCAATCAAATTCGAGTTCAATCATAAAAATGTCCAGCATCCATTGCATCACTAGTATTTATCACTTTTGTGTCAAAAACAGAATCTGGTCAAAGCTTGGAATACATTACTTTTTGGGAGATCCAATTGGTGCAGGATCTCCCCAAACAAGTAATGTATCAAAACTTGAGGCCATGATGAGCTCTGTCTTTCTCAAGCCTTTAATGAACCTGCCTGCTTTGTTGAAACAAAACTAAAATACACTAATTTCTAAACCTTATACTACCTCAGTTTTATTTAGCTGTTGGTGAATTTGGAAGACACCTACACGCCAACAGCTTAAAGAACAGCATAAAGTGCTTCTCACAGAATCTAGGCCCTCTGATTGTATCAGTAAGTGAAAATGTACGGCACAAATGTTTTGTTATGTTTGTTTAGATTCCAAACAAATCAAATCTCTGGAAATGAAAGCTCTTCATCCATTCTCAATCTCTGGCAAGAACACAACAAGAACAACTCTCAGGTGAAAAACATTATAGCATTTTAATTCTTCATTTGACTTAAGTTAATAATGATTTCATTTTAAATAATGCATTTTTAAAAACGCCTCAGTCTGACAAAGAGAACACTGCTCCAGCACAGAGAACCAACGGGACGATTGCAAAAGCCCTCCTGCGAGGTTTGGAGCCGTTTGAAGATCGGTGAAGCGGTCGGCTCTCAGACGAGCTGAACCTCCAAGCCGCACGCGCAGGAGGAAGTGAATGAACTTGAAAGGAGGCTGCGTCTGCGCAGCTGCGCAGTCCACTGCTCAAAGACGCCATCTCCACAGCTGCGTTCCCGATCTCACCGACCCAGCAAGCTAGCGTGCGCATCAGACGATGCCGAGCTCAGCTGTCTGCCGCCTACGACGACACGGAGTACGAACCCTATGGTCTGCCGGAGTAGTCAGAAAGGTACACTCTTTGTCCAAAGTTTCTCACCTACACATAGACGGTATATGAGAGTGACTGGCTGAGTGCCATTTACAAAGACAATATAAAATATAAACCCAGGACATAGAGAGGCTAAGCACACATTTTAAAGCCTCAAATATGGTGATGTGACATCAAGGACTAGAGAACTTATACTCCTTTAATGTCAATAGTAGCCAAGAGCGTTGGCGAAAAACTTTGTCATGAGCACTTCCCTATTGGGCTTCATTGAACAGCGGTTTGGCATTATCCATCTGCATACTAGTCTACATCAACATGTACATCGGGGCGTGTCATTTTGCAAGAGGCAAACTTGTATTGGGATGTTGGTTGTAAAAACCAACTTTGACAAACAAATAAAACGTTTTATTTATAAAAGTTTGTAGTGGTTTCAGCCTTGATGTTCTGCCATTGGTTCTTCTTTTAAATCCACGCATCCGCAATGCACATGGGTAATCTAATGACTCCAATTGCCAAATAACTGTGGCAAATAAGCTAATACCATCTGCTTGCCCGTCATCCAGCCTTGTTTTCCAACATAAATAGGTCTTTTCTAAAGGGAGAGCTTGAGGCTCAATAGCTGGATCATTATATTAATGAAAGGACGACATGATAAAGCTGCAGAGTGCTGCGCAAGAGTCCCAGATGACGTGTACAAAGGAGCATTGATAGGGTTTAAAAAAAGCGATTGTTCCCGACTCTGTAAAGGGTAAAATTCCGGTTGATAATGAGTAAATATCATTGTTAAAACAACAAACGTAATTAGGAGATCTCATGGTTGATGGGTTGGAGTGGGCAGTGTTCAAAGATTGAACAGATGTATCAGGAAACTAAACTTTTTTTTAATCTCGTGCTTGCATTTATTGAGTTTTAGATTTGTTTTATTGTTTTTGATTTAATCACAATACAGGAAAAAAGAGACAAACATATGAGCACATAATGAGGTACAAAAATCAACCAAGAAACAGAAGGTACAGGAAAGAAAGGACATTTGACAGGAACAAAAGGAACATTGAAGAAAAAGTAAATAAACAACAGATGCAAAACTAACACACTTGATGTTCACGTTTTCTTCTCACATCTAACAATGTCCATAAAGGCATAATGAAATATTCTCTAAATATGTCTTGATTGCTAAAGTGCATTAGCATTAGCACCAATCTGGTTTATTTGTAGTCTTTACCCGTTTGTTTGTTTATTTAATTATTTAGATGACCTTTAAAATTGTCTGTACTATCAAAGCTTTGATCTGGTAGACATCCAGATGTACTTTTCTTCCCTGACCGGAGGAAGCTGTTGGTTTTGGCCTTGTAGATTAGATGCAGAGCTGTTTTTATTGGCCTGTAGAATCCCTAACTTCCCTAGTTTTTTGTTTCCTCTGCACCACTTTTCTTGAATGTGTCCAACTCTCAGCTGATTGGAATATTTAGACAAATTTAAAAGTTTAAGTTTGAATACACTGCTCAAAGGAGGCCAATACACTACTAATATAAAATATATATATGATATCTATACTACACATACTAATTATTTTGCTTTTTTCGTCTTTGCAGGATTCGCAGACATCCCCACCCGTCCTTCCTGTCCCATACATTGTGAGACGAGGTTTACTTGGAAATCGGCTGCAGTACCAGTCTTTCTTCCGAAAAACATGACCGTCGCAGAAGAAACAGCCTAACCACACAAGCACTGGTACAGTCTGTGGTCTTTGGAGGTCTGAAAAACTGTTTTATAGTCCCGAGATCGACACAATTTTGAGGGACACCTGTGCTGGTCTGTATATAACCTTAAATGGTCACTACTTCATTCTCGATTACAGTTTGCTGATAAGTACTGTTTGTAATAGAGCCAGCTGTGTATAAAAAGTGCAGATATAGTTTGGTGTATGTGGATTATATCAGGGAACAAAATACCAAATCAGAGGCAGTGTTTTTCTGTTGCCTCCTAGATCATCATGTGGCTCTGGTCGCTGAATGTGCCTGGCTTGGACCTGCCTCAAGTTTTGATAGTTTCTGTGAATGCGAATTGTTTGAATGTGATTTCTCTGTGTGGGCGGAATAGACTGAGTGGTGGTATACATGAGTGTGGCTGCAGTCTGAGATGTTTGTGTGCAATGGGGAGTGAGTCGCCCTACAAACCTGCAACTTTCCGAGTGCTCCATGTATTGGTGAGGAACACTGCTCTCCTGTGGTCTATCCACTCTGCGTCTTTGTTTTTCTGATACACACTACTTTGTTTTGTGTGTGAAACTCCAAATGCAGATCATATTGGATTACACTATTATTTAAGTATAGGTTTGAACAAACATTATTTATTTAGATCTTGCCTGTAAATGTGCTTACAAATGTAAATTTAAGTCAATTCCCTAAAAAAACGATCACAAGATTCTTATGATGTAATCATAGAAGAGAAACCGTTATGGTACAATAACTGTCTTTATGAAAAAGCCACTGAGTCCTCTGGTATATGAGCTCTTTGTGCCTTACAAATCCATTTCAGATTTTCTGCCTTGTTTATTGTCAGCTGAAGTAGACGGCTGCTTTATGAATAAAAAAAAGTTAATTCCATTCCTCAAATCTATGACTATCTGTTGTGGTTTTTTTTTTAACTGGATTTTGGGGTTTACATTTAGATCTCCAGTGTTTAATAACTAGTTTTTTAAACTTATTAAATCAATTAATGATAATTGATCACCCCCCTGGGCGCTGCATGTATATCGTTTTCTTATCAGAGTTTTGAACGCTAATCCTCCGACATCCACAACTCAGAAACTCTGAGCTCTCCTTTTTCCCTATTGACCTTCACTTAAATACACAACCCCAGCTTTGAGAGAATGTTGCACGTCTCCCACTGTCCTTTTATCGTCCTCCTCCTGCTGCCTCTTGTCGGAGTGATTGTAGGGTCACAGAATGGGGAAACTCCATCCAAGGAGAGAATGCTCTCGCACACTGAGAGCTCTGCTGTGCTGAAAGAGCCGTGCTCCTAAAGTTGGATAATCAACAAGACTTCAAACTAAAGGTACGGTTCCACTGGAACTTTAACACAAGCAGAGTTAGTCCTAGCACTAGTCCACTGTGGACAATTAACCATGGTCACTGTTTTAATCGAAAAAATTGGGCAATTTTCCTAAATTATGTTTCACCAATTGGGCTAAAATAATACTTGAGTTGCTTACATGCTATGAAAGGGTGAAGTCTTATTCCCCAGAGCAGAAAACTCAGACACTTGTAACCTGTGACCACATTATTGAGCAGTATACTTTGGAAAGATTAACTTTGCTCTAATAATTTCATCTAAAGATTTGTTTATCCTGAGCCTTAAATGGTACATTATTGATTTCTACCTTCTTTTGGTGTCTGATGTCACAAGATGACACGGTCAAACTGGACTTTGAACGTATAAGTATATGAATATTAAACACATTTTTGTTGCTTTTGCTATTTAATATTCACCCAGTTTTTTTTTATTTAAATCTTTATGTCAACGAATATTTATTAAGAAACATCCTGAGTGCCTGCAAATGAGCCTTTAGAAATAAACCAAACAAAGGGCTCTGGGAACGTGTCACTCTCTGACCAGGCCAGACTGCTGCACCTGGGACTAATTTAAAACTCAATTTACTAGCACCTCCTTTACTGCATGCAAAATAAACCATGTGATTTGTGCTCCTGATTTGACACTAGTGAAAACAGACAACAGAAACATCTCCACCCAGTTGAAAGCCTGCTCATTACAAACCAAGGAGTATAAGGAATACTAGTGATTTATGGTCCTGTTTCGCTCTGTCCAGTACAACGTGAAGCTGTTGAGCCAGTTCTGGAGATATCAGCGCTGATTAAACATGGGATGAGCTGCTGGGATCACTATGTAAGGTACCTTTCATTGCCGTGCTATAAAACTGTCCCTTGAGAGTTCATGGAAAAAACATTGTCACATGAGCAGATTATTCACTTCAGTGATCTGTGATAACTCATTTCTAAAATTTTACAAACAAGACTTTGTCTTTGAACAATGTCTGGGTGCTACAACTTCCTTTTAGGTTTTGTCTAAATATTGGCTGTATCATTCGTAAATTTAAAGCAATATAATTTGTCAGACATTAACAGCATTGGTAGTGCCTGCTTAAAACACATTATTTCTCCATAGTAATAGTAATACACACCTTTTACCTATAAAAACCTGAGATGTACATAGTTGAGAACACATTTGTTACTATTATATGAAGAGTTTTGTCGACAGCATCATTCTCACACCTTTCCTGTTTCAGGACAGTCTTTTGACCACATGAAGGTCATTTCATCTGATTGACTTCCATGAACATGTCCAGCTTGTTTTACAATGTTTGCTCCTTTCTCTCTTAGCGTGCTATCAAAAGGAACGCCTGTTTTATGAACCAGCCTGTGCCCGGTGCATTCACCTGAGGCCTTATGTTTTGACCTCTACGGGAAGATGCCGCTGTAACCACCCTCTTAGCCCGTTGCTGGGGTCATGCTCAACGTGGGCTTGGGAGCACTAGGTGTTTTAGCTCCTTGGAGGATCCTGAGGAGAAAAAAAGCTTGACCGCAGCCTTCCTGGCCACTCGAGAGGGGCACCTCCAGAACTACTCTTGTGTTTCAGAGGTGGAAGTAACTTCTTGAAAGGTGACAATCAGCAACAACCAGCACAGAGATTACAGGTGTAACAAAGCCTCTTGTATGTCTCTTCCAGAAGGTGGCGTTCTGCTGTTAGTGCTGGTCTGGATTCCAATAACCTTTCTGCCAACTTCAGCACTCGTTGGGATATTGCTTCAGCCTTCTTCTTCGTGGCACCATCATCACCACTAAGGTTAGCAGGCTGTACAAACAACGGCAATATTCAATATAAGTTTAACACTTAAACCAGTTTGTTGGTTTGACCAGGGATTTGGAAATCTCTCGTCTCGCGGACATGGCCTGACAGTTTTTATTTGTGTGTTATGCTCTTGTTGGGATTCCC